TGAGGCCTGGAAGGCCGAAACGGATCCGTCTGCAGATATTGGGATTCCTTCCAGTGGATGCTTAGTTTATTTTGTCATTCTGATCGGATTTTCTCTACTGTTCCGTTTTAATTTTAAATAGTTTTGAATTATGTGGCCGCTGTCTCTTATACACATCTAGATGTGTATAAGAGACAGCCATGTATCATAGCTCTCAATGAATGTTTTCCTATGAAGAAATAAAGAAATTGTGCAATAAAATGCCTTTGACAGGATTCGAATCTGTGACCTCTCGCTGAGAATGCGAGCGTCATAACCATTAGATGACAGGCTTTCTGGTAAACAGATTCGAATAACCATCAGATACATTCTATTACACAAACAGATACAAATAATAGCATATAATATGTAACAATATTATATATAATAATAATAAAGGTAGCCATTAACACTGCTAATTATATATCAATCATCAATGAAAGGTAAATACAGTGTTTGAATAAAGGACATGATAATACACTGGTTAGGATAGCTCTCAACATATGTTGTCCTATAAAGAAATAAGGAAGGTACAGTAGAAAGTTACTTGGAAAAACCAAACATAGGCCTACTTAATTTAATGAATATGGACAAATATTCTTGTATGTAAATGTGTATGTATATACCATACTGTTTGTTAAATGGCTGTTGTTATTGAAATGAAATATGTTTCTTTATAATATTAGCAAAAAAAAAAAAAAACAAAACAAAACAATGCCTGTTATGGTTTTACCTTAATTTTATTTTCTAAGTAGAATAGGTGGTGAAATGGATGAAGGAATGGGCGGTGAAGAAATGGATGAAGGAATGGGTGGTGAAGAAATGGATGAAGGAATGGGTGGTGAAGAAATGGATGAAGGAATGGGTGGTGGTGAAGGAATGGATGGTGAAGAAATGGATGAAGGAACGGGTGGTGAAGGAATGGGTGGTGAAGGAATGGATGAAGGAATGGGTGGTGAAGGAATAGGTGGTGAAGGAATGGGTAATGATGACCGAGTCTCAGAAATTGACTTCTTGAATGGCACCAATGCAGATCTAGATACCAAGGATGAAATCTCTTTGATCAACTTTAACTTTTTGGGGTAATAGCTATAATGCTAAGAAAATTTGTTTGCTGTTAAAATCCAGTTCAGTAATTTCATTTGAGTACAATAATAATAATAATAGTATTTAATTTGTTTCTAAAGCACAATCCCATAAGGCAGACTGAAAAAGCTAAAATTATGTCATAAGCCTACATGGCTATGATTAACTTAGGCCTAACATTAACTAATACTAATAATAATATAACAATGATGATGATAATGATGATAATTATTATAATTAATTATAATAATTATAACAATTATACTGTAATAATCATAATGACAATACCAAAAACAACAATAACAATACAATAATAATATTAATAATAGCTCCAACTGTAATAAGAAAATACCAGTTTAAAGAATATGATAGTTCATTTAGAAAAAGCAGAGAGATGACGAACAAAAAACAATAACTATTTAATTAAATATCTTACTGTTTTCTTATGCCAACATTTAAAAAATACATTCTTACCAAGGGTGCAGGTCAACTCGACCACAAGTCAACTCGGCCACAGTCAACTTAGCCGAGATCATTGTGAAAACCATAGTAGGCCTAGGCATAGGCATACGTAACGTGAAGAGTGAAGCCTCTTTTCCTGTCGACGTTAAGCAACGTTTACAACGTCCATGGTCAAATTTTTAACCATGATCGTTAAAGTTGAATGAATAACGATTTTATTAAAAATCGTGTCGGTCCGCCAAAGCTGACCATGTAAAATGCTGAATCGTTAAAGTTGAAAATTGTTTATGCTGATTTATCATGGCGCCGTTTCTCAGAAAGCTGAAAGCCGTTATGTTGATGGATTTGATGCGTAAGAAACAGCAAACTAAAGGGAAAAGAAAACATAAAATGTGGGTCCGAGACATCCTTCTTTGACAGAAAACGCTGAGCCAGTACCACCAGCACTACCACCTAATTATAGACCATGATAGAGAATGGTTTTTTAAGTAAGTATTTATTAGTTTGGCCTGCCTAGGCCTAGGCCCTGTAGGGGCCGGGCCTAGGCCCCTAGCCTAGGCTAGGCCCGGCAGTGCGTTAATTGCGGCGTATTTCAATTAACTTATTCGTTATTTGTACTATTTCTTTAAATTATTTAATTAAATTATTTATTATATAGGCCTATAAGTTTTACTAGGTTACAGGTAGGCATAATAGTACAAAAATAAAAATATATAAATTACAAAACCATAGTAAATAGGCCTAGGCCTACTGTATAATAACTATTATTTTTGTTTTATCTTCCATGGTTAATTTGCTGAGTATTTGATTAGTCGGCTTGCCGACCCCCGACCCCCCACAACCAGCTACATATTCATCCCACAGTCTTGTCAGTCGTTGATTTGCTCGTATTGCCATTCGTGATGTATAAGATAAGTTGTGTAATTGAAAATTAGAACTTTTATTATTTTATGTACACGTACTACATTTTTATAAAAATAAATGAAGTTGTATCATTAAAAATGTAATAACTCGATTATTTTTAATTGTATTTACGTTTGGTTTCCGTTTTAACATTTTAAAAAATACGCCCCAAAAATATTTAATAAATCAGTGCAAAAACCGAGTATTAAATAAATTTAAAGAATTGAGTAAATAAACTGAAATACATCCCAAACAACAGTACCAAGAACGAGTAAATAAATTGAAATACGCCCCAAAAATATTTAATAAAACAGTAAAACGAGTAAGTTAATTGAAATACTCCCCAAAAAAGTATAACAAAATAGTACAAATAAGTTAATTGAAATACGCCGCAATCAACGCACTACATTCACTGAGAGACGCGCTTGGCGTTTCATAGAAATGACCGGCGGCTCAACTTGTCGGCGGCTCAACCGGTCATAATCCCCTAGGCCTAGCTAGCCTAGAAGAAGTAGAAGGTAGGCCTGGTCCTACTAAATAGCGCACAGTAACTCCCAGAAGCGCCCGGGTTGCGCTCGGTGGCTTCCAGCCCGCCCGCCAACGCCCGGTACAGTTAATTAAGGACTTTATGAAAAGTTTTGTGAACATCCCCTTATTTTTCGATAAAAATATTCTTTTCTTCTTTTTAAGGAACCACAATGTTGAAGCAGATATTTTATTAGCTTTAGGGCCTAGGCTCTAAAGCAAATCAATATCATCAATCAAAATAATCTCTTTGTTTTTTATTTCCAGGAACCCAAATGTTGAAGCTCCTATCGCAAAATATCAGACCAGACAGCAACATGGATTGAAAATATTAATAATACATTCAATGGAATGAATTTCAGTTATCTTGCTGTTTCAAATATACTCATAATACACCACTTTACATACATGATATACTAGGTTAGACCTTGCCTAGGCCTAGCCTACTAATAGGGAG